AAATCCCAGAATTCCGCGAAGTTCACGGAAATTTTGACATTCTGTCGCGGTATTGTGATCTTGAGCAGATCTTAGAACAAATTCGATCAGAGTGGCTCTCTACCATACTCCTATAGTATACTGTCTATGTATCATCAGCGACAGATCAATGGTGATACTGTTATCAGCACACTGAATTCAACCAAAATGATAATCGATAATCTGAAAACTAATATTGTATTCGGAATGCCCATGCTCGATTACCATTGTGATTGCGCAAACTCCCAGCCCCGTAGCTCAAACTTTGCAAAAAAATTGATAAAATCGATAAAAGTAATCGATAATCCCGAAAACTGATATTGTATTCGGAATCCCCAATCCCATGCTCGATTACCCCCCTATGCAAACTCCCAGCCCCGTAGGTGAACTCTGCAAAAAGTCGATAAAAATCGATAAAATCGATAAAAGTAATCGATAATCCCGAAAACTAATATTGTATTCGGAATCCCCATGCTCGATTACCCCCTATGCAAACTCCCAGCCCCGTAGGTGAACTCTGCAAAAAAATCGATAAAAATCGATAAAATCGATATCGATCGATGACGAAAAGAAGCCTGTGACACCCGCCTGTGCCCGAAGTGTATGTGTGCCAAGTTTGGTCCGGATCGGTTCAAAAATGGATTTTTCTAATCGGAACATACGTACAAACAAACAGACAAAGAGACGTTCAGCTTCATATATAAGATGACGCGTCTCGTCGAGCTGAATCGAACGGTGTCCTCGGATTCAGATTTCGTCCATTCTGAAGCGAGATATGGCTAAATTGAGGATCATTCCGGCGCACTGCGGCGGAGTGTGGCGCACTCTGCCGCACTCCGGCGCATTCTGCCACACTCCGGCGCACTGTGGCGAAGTGTGGCGGAGTGCGCCGCAGTCCGGCGACTTTTTTGACGAATTATGAGCGGTATTGTATACTGTATTATAGAGCATGAAATGCTGACCTCAAACCTCTTTTCAGTATATGCAAAGCTCTTCTGCGAGGGGAGTTATGGAAATTTTTTGATGCAAAATTTGAAAGAGTTGCTACAATAAAATCAATCAGAACATTAGTCCGTGAGCTCAAATGCGGCCATGATCACTACTAGATCGTTTCATGGAATAAAGACCATGGACCTTCAGTCTAATAAACTAATGTCAGTCCGTTTTTATCTCAGCCATTTCATCGAATTTTTACCTCAAGAAATTTCCAGAACTCCCCTAGAAACGCCTTTCAGATATCGAAAGCAGATTTGGAATTAGCGTTGCATGCTCTATAAGATAGTATACATTTCGTAGGGAAACGCCACTTCGACCAGGCATCCTTCTTTGTGAGAAGAAATGAGAGCCTTGACTCAAACTTCTTGAGCCAATGAAGTACATGAAACTCGCAAAGATGCTTCGGGTAAGCTATCACAATTGAGCATGAATACACTTGTACTGTGAAAAACCAAGGTTTCGAGCTCTAGCTGTGGTTAGAAGGTGGTAGCTGTGGTTAGAAGGTGGGCAAGCATGAGGCTACCAAAAACTCAAACTCGCGCAAAAGTTAAGATGTAATTCCAAAAAATAGGATTCTTTATGAAGTTCTGCCGACAAAGATTGGGCCACCTAGTTTTATCTAATAACGGGATGTGATAAGGCACTTGGAGAATAAATGTTTTCTCATAATAGAGAAATGATTGGATGCTCTGATTATGATACATGTTAGAACATATTACACATTCAGCCAATACGTACGTAAGGGTCAATTACATGTTGAGAATCCTTACGCTTGCTGAAACGCAAAGTCATTCACTTCGACCAATTAAGAACTTTGAGCAGTAACTGCATAGTAAAATACCCCGACCATCCAAAGTATCACTGTTGCAACGGTTACAAGGACAGCCACCAAACCTGCTATCTAGGCTTAAATGCAGCGTCCATCCAAGATTTTTCGACTCTCATGTTTTCATCGTTTCGGGCTTTTTTATGGTCCTGATTTTGGATAAGGCGCAACTTACGGGGAAGGCCCAAAATTGCTGTTTTTCAAAGCCCTATCCCGGAAGTCGTGGACAGGTGCTCCGACGCTAGTCACGTCGTATGCAGCAGGAAAACTCTTCGTATGCAACAGTGCCAGATCACACTTGCTCGAGTCCCGACGTTGCCTGCCATGTCAACTCCATCGGGCAATCGGTAGGGAGTTGGAAAGCAGAAAGCACGACTTTTTATCACCATTAAAGCTCTACGTTGTATCCATCCGTGTGCAACGGTTCAGTTCTCTTCTCTCTGGAGACGATATAGGCGATAACATGATCATTCTGTTGCGCCAAAAAATCGCAATCTTTCAAGTTTTTTGCCCTATTTGGAAGTAGAAAAATAACCGCTAATCAATGGAACATTCAAAAGAGCACAAAGCGTTTCTTTTTTTCGGATATAATGTAATACGCTTCATGACTTTTCGGTATAACAGGAAAGAGATGGACAAAAAAATCCTGTCTCAGCTAGAGCGCCGCGCCCGGGGAGAGAAGCAGTAACGCAAAGCTAGACTAGTATGAAGGATCGCTTGTGTAAGTGAAGTTTGGTTGCAGCCGCTTGTTTTACCGAAACAAAAAATCCGTTTTACCGAAACAACAAATCCTGAAGTGTTGATAGAGCGGTCTTATCATTTTCTTTCAGCCTAAAATACTATCATCGGAAGTAGCCATCGGTCAACGATATTATGTTATGTTTACAACCCTAAGTCCCTGATTAGGTATATTGAGGCTGCTCTCAAGAAAAGCGCTGGCCACGTCATATAAGGTAACCAACGCGATTTCCCACGCTGTAGTCATGATTTTTTCTTTTAAAGGGAGACATACCGACCGCATAGTAATCGGACGAAAAATTACGCGCGGTTACGCACGAAATTTCAGCCAAGCTTCTGCAAGTTCTGCGGGCCTAATATCTGAAGCAATTGATTATTTTCCTTCATTGGGGCACTTTCTCAGACAACATCTCGGACGGGCGGCGGCCTCTACCGGGCGGGCGATCGTGCCTCCCGCCGCTCGCCCTCTACTCAGATAATCGCCGGGGGCAGGCGGCCATGCAATTTATGGGCGGACGGACACAGGAAAATTAGTTCGTGATTTCTTGCGGTCCGCTTGCAGATATTTGGAAGAATTTCAGCTAACATTTAGGCGAATGCTTGGAGAGCAATCGCGGTTTCCTTATGGATTAGTTGCGGCGCAGTGGCCGCATTCTCGCGGACTTTCCGCTAGAATATGCAAATTTCGGGGCCGCACAGTCCTTTGTGGAGGACTGCGCAGCCCCCAGGTACTTTCCGCTGAGAGAAAGTACCTCAAACTTGAGTAATTAAACCATCGATGACACTTCTGCCATGTAGAGTCTCACTTTTGCTCGGTGTATGTCCGAAACTGCTTAAAAACCGTCCGAGCGCTAACTGAAAATTTGACCAGCGCTCGCTGAAAAAGATTATTTGACGAGCGCCTGCAGAAAATGCTGTGTTGCTGCCCGCTGGCGGAACATTAGACAGTAAAGGGAGTACTCGCTGTAGGTTTGGCCACGCAGCAAAATTCTGCTGACCCTTGCAGAAAAGCGCGAGTTTGCGGACCGCCTGCCCCCGACGATTATCTGAGTAGAGGCACGCCGCCCGCCCGCTACAGATATGAAGCGGGCGAGCGGAGTTCCTTTAGCCGGCGACCATCATACTTCCCTCCACTATCCCGCTAATAATATTCCTCTCGTCCGCTCGTAAATCAAACCGACGAGCGGAGTGCCCTTAGCGGGCTACTAATCATGCTTCCCCCTCCGGCCCTCTCGTCACAAAATTACAAGGGTCCGACAGCCTGCTGCCTAACGCTTATAGTCTGCACTTTGGCTACAGACACACAATCTGATTCCTACAACGCATTCTAATGGTCACTTTATTAGGACGCGTAAGCAACAACACCAGCGCAAAAAATGACAAGTGAGATTCCAGCCACCATATATGAAACAAGATAATGATAGTTGGTGTGGATCTGCTATTACGTGGTAGAGGGAAACGGATGCAGAAGAGTGCCTAAAAGAAACTGAAAGTATATATAAGTTCCTGTATTTCCAAGAAGAGCGAACCATGTAAGCCGGGATTCAGCTCAAATTTCACTCGGATAACCATTTACTTGCGATCTGTGCAGATACACATTGAAAATACGATTGTGAAAGTCATGATGCACTTGCTTTCAAAACGATCAAACGTAAACTTACTTCTAACTACGTCCACCTCAGACTTATCTTCACTTTTGGTTACCTTTATAGCTTTGCAGAAGAACCAAATCTCTTGTTAACGAAAATTCTCCTAAGAGATCGGCTTTCAACATATGCCAGGAATTAGTCGCTGTCATAGTCAAAATTCACTCCTTCGTATCCGCTTCTTTCCTCATTTTCACTTCTTGGGGTGTAATGAATGTGGAGAGAAGTTCATGTGATTCATCGGCAACGGCTAACCTGAAATCGTTTTAGTAGCTCAAATGGCCGCAAGGCCACGAAAGCAGCAGTGACAAATTGAAGAACACTGCAATGAGAGGACTTCAAGATGATGTAAGATAAGGAGTATGATAATGATGGTACGCCGCACACTCGCTTGAGGGGGCCGCTGGTTAAAGCAAGGTCCGCCGCTCGCAAGCTCGGTAGCGAGGGCACGCCGCTCGTCCGCAAGAAAGTCACGCCCACAAATCAACGCTCGCCGCTCGCCCGCAAAGCCATTAAGGTCCACCACTCGTCTGAGTTATTGTCTGAGCTTGTCTAAATTATAGTAGACCTTTGAAGCGGATGAGCGCATTTAGTAGCTGACACTACCCAGACCAAAAACACATCAAGGTGCCTTCTTGAGTGCCTTCTTTGCATTTGATTTGTATTTACAAGAAGGATTGGTAGGACTTCTTGATTAACGTAGTATATGAGCTACATATCTGTTTCCTCCTTTTCTTATTCGAGTATAAATTCAACTGTATTAACTACATAAATACCTCTTTTTTGATCACTGGAGTAGCATTTTTGGGTGTACGGCCTGCTGCTTTCCTGTTCAAATCCTACGAAAGTACTAATATAATTCAATTGTCACTGAAATGACCGACCTTTTTTGCAGTTTTGCATATGACCATTAGATAGAGTGTTATTATGTGCATCATCAAAATGCCGATTGTGGGAAGCATCATCGCTCTGGAATTATTGTCTTGTAGAACAGAGAAAATGCTCTTAATCGCCACGTGATTTGCTATTTCGCGGCAGGGCATGGACAGCTGACATTAATTTTTTTTAATTGACAGTGAAATCAACGTTATCACAGTCTGTGCTGATGGGGCGGAGAACGGGGATCGCAGCTCAAAAGAAAGCTTCATATCCTGAAGCTCCAGTTACGTGGAGTTCACGCTGTCTACCCACCCCTAAGTGTCGCACCATCCTTCACTGTAGACATATCGAGCGGGAGCAAGAAGCTGTACAAGCCGCATTTTCCAGCTTTTTGTATGATCCCCAGATGATTCCCGACGGCCGACCTTCTTTTCTTCAAAACCATTTTTCTCTCTTCAAAGTTTACGAAAACCTTCCAAAGTTGTGTTGTTTATCTAACACAACAGTGTTAGATAAGTAGTACAACTTTGGAGAAACGTACAACACATTTGTTCTTCTTTGTTCTTATCAGCAACATGCAAGAACAAATGATGTACGGGGCTCGGCACAGGTGGCTTACGGGGCAAGCTAGATATCGTTTTGGAATAAAAAGCAGAGGGGATGTCGTTGAAGTGGAAACCCTAGCCCTCCCCCCTCTCCTTCAACACAATTGCTTTCTGCCTTTATGTCACCCATCTTCTATAGAAGACGCAAATTGTCATTTCTGCCTTATCGATCTGCAGAAACCATCCGCCGGTTAAGCGCGCGAATCCAGACCTGCCCCAAATAAGCGAAAGACTTGTTTACAGCGAAGAGAAAATGAAATGACACAAAAATTGGTGTGTAGAAAGCAGTAGGGGTTAGGACGGTGTAGAAAATTATGAAAAAACCAGTGCGTCACCTCTGCTTCGCAGAGGCTCGCACTGGCCCTGTTTTCTGTATGCTTCACTCATCCCGCATAATAATGACATTGAAACTCACCGCGCTATGTAGGCTATCACGAATAATTCGTAAACAACTACTCATTCGTAGAGGTCTTCCATGTGAGATCGGTATTTTCGCGTGGATATCTTTCCCAGAAGAACCGATGCAAATTCGAATAGGCTTTTGGAATTTTTATGGCTTGGTAGTCGCCGTAAGGACAATAGACATAGTGGGCTACACCTCTGTGCAAAAATCTTCTCAAATAATCAGGTAAGATCTTGAAAAATTGACCGTTTACACAGCGAATGCTTTTTGGCGCTGTTTTCGTCAAGTAGTAGACTTTTCATTACTTTTTTAGGCTAACGTCCATGGCTTGCACATTAGCTTGTCAAATATATCCTTAACTCTGCAAAAAGTAGTACTACGGACCCAAATTTGCTGGCCAGAAGTTAAGTGGATCCGTTTGACGCGCAATTTTCAATGGATCCATTCAACGGATCCGCTCATGCTTTTGTATAGTGAGCTTACATGTTGGTAGAGTGCGCTATGCAAAATTTGGGCTCAGGACGTTGGCTGGAACACACTCTACGAATTTCGTGACAGACAGAGATTCACACACACTCACGCACAGACAAACGTAAACAACCTTAGCCCGTTATTATAAGTTACCAGTGCTTCACCTTTGCTTCGCAGAGGTTCGCACTGGCCATCATGAACCGTGGTAAACTCTCTTAGAACTTGTCTTTCAAATCATGTTCGATTGACTGCAACGTGAGAGCCGTAATTAAAAATGAACCATACTCGCTATGTGAACCTCATATGATGTTTAGTACCGTAAATCACTCCTCACTGTAATTTCGTAACAGACAGACTTACAGACCGACAAATTAGCGGCTTATTGTAAGTTATGATGATTATGTGTGAAGTGAAGGCGTGGCAAACTTTTTTCAGAGTTAGGTGGCTTTCCAGTCACCTGGGCAGCCACCTGAGGTGGCTGTGAAAAGATAAAGTCATATATTTCCCTTCCTTCACATAATTTTCTCACGTGTTTAACATAAGCTTGTTCTACATCAAAAACCCTACAACCCTCTCTTTCTCGCCTAGTTACAGCCCTCCAAATATTTTGTATAGAGCCAGCAGGCCTGCTCCAAGCGCGCAAGGGTGCGCGCCGGACACAGCATGCCGCCAATTTGGAGAATACGAACATCTTTAGTTTTTTTTTCGTCAGTACGATGTTGTTTTTATGGTTCACATTACCAGTGCGTCACCTCTGCTTCGCAGAGGCTCGTGCTGGTCTCACTATCATGCCTTACTTTCCGCAATAATGTCATTAAAACTTATCGCGCTATGCAGACTATTATGAATGATTCGTAAACAACTATTCATTTTTGAAACTTTTTCATGTGAGATAGGTAATTTCCCCGTGAATGAAACTTTTCCCAGAAGAACAAATACAATTTAAATCGGTTTTTGGGCTTTTCATGGCTTCGTAGTCGCCTTGAGGACAGTGATCACCATGGGCCACACCACTGTGCAAAAATTTTCACAAATGATTAGGTAAACTCTTGGCAAATTGAAGTTTACACAATCAATTCTTTTTGGCGCCACCTTCGTAAAGTAATAAACTTTTGTTCACTTTTTTGGGCTAAAGTCCATGGCTTGCACATTAGCTTGTCAAACCTACTCATGACTTTGCAAAAAGTGCTGCTACATGCACAGTTTTAGCATACGCCGTGCAAAATTTGGGCTCAGGACATTGGCTGAAACACGCTCAACGAGTTTCGTAACGGACAGACACACACACAGACAAAAAGACGTAAACAACCCTTAGCCCGTTATTATAAGTCATAATTTTTCGTTATTTGTTTTGATCTATTCATGTTCGCTTCACAGATTATGTCGTATTTTTGTGCCGAAGTCTACAGGGACTTCGTCTTAAAAATTGAAAAAGCCACCTCATGCCGAGCCCTGACGATATATCGAAGTCATGAAAATTGCGATAGACCACAAGTCGGAAGTTGGGTCTTATTGAAAAATTCAACTCATGTGTTCTCAACAGCAAGTGCTTACCACTGCTGTGTTAAACAAAACAGTACAATTTTGGAAGGTTTTCGTTAACTTTGAAAAGAGAAAAATGGCTTTGAAGAAAAGACGGTCGGCCGCCGGGGATCACCTGGGGATCATACAAAAAGCTGAAAAATGCGGCTTGTACAGCTTCTCGCTCCAGTTCAATATGTTCATAATGAAAGATGATAGGAATACTTACGGGTAGAAAAACGGCGTGAAATCCAAAAGTTCGGAGCTTCAGAATATGAAGCTTTCTTTTGGGCTGCGATCTTCGTTTCGCGGGAATGTTAATGCATGCGGCCCTAAGACTGGACTCACCCTCGCTCCCTTCCCTTTCGCCTTCCTACTCCCGATAATGGGAAATTTTGGGAAGTTACTTGCACAAGTCGAAGATGTGCAGCTGACTTGTTCGTACTTGTGAAGGAATAATTTTTGAAATTTCTCCAAAAATTTAGCCTCAGAAGAAATTTTGGAGGCGTGGTTGAAACCGCGCTTCCTTTTTGAATTTTGGGATTACGATCGCAGAAAAGCTATTTTTGGAGTGCGTGCTAACGGCACCACCTTTGTTTATTGAAAATCTTTTTTGTCGCCGCTTTCTACATAAGTGAGTTTAGCGCAAATGCAAAAATGCTTCAAGATTACACTCGTGAGGGCTGGGCATACTTCACGCGATTCATTGCCTCCCGTTCTGCAGACAAGACAATTGTTACGAATCCATTGCATGCCAATCATCTTGCATTTCGACTGTGATAGTTACTCGCGGTTAATATCGAAAACTATCGTAAACTGTCATATTATATTCCTGGCAGAGTCTGCTTGAGCAAAACCTTAGTGCTTGGATTTTTGATAGCATCAAGCTGGACCTAAATTGAAAATGATTCACTTATGTTTGCTTTCTTTTCTTTAGTATCGTAATATCTCAGCTGTACCTCAATTTTAGTAGCACGTCTCAAGCGTAAAGAATAAACTGAATAAAAACAAATAAAGAGACTAAATGTAAGATGATCGGCATGCATTGGACTCGTAACAGTTATCTTATTGAAGAATCGCGAGGCGATGGAATCGCGTGATGTATGCCCGCCCCTTGAATGTGCGAAGTAGTCCTCCGGGGCGAAATTAGATGGAAAGGTTTGAGAGCCTCTTTGGCTACCTCGGTCGCGCACCATTCATCTAACGGCAATGCTACTTGAGCTCAAACAAAGTCCGTAACGTCTCCCGGTTAATAGTTCAACAGATGGGAGAGCAGATTAGGGGCAACAAAAGGTCTTTATAGTATACAGTTTGTTTGATGTTTCCTCAAGTCAAAAGACATTCAAGGGTGCCCTGTTCACCTGTTTCACCGCCATGGTTTTCAGACTGCTTCGTAGCTATCCTACTATAATAACGCGTTAAGGCCATCTGTTTTTTTGTGTGTCTGTGTGAAAATCTGTCTGTCACGAAATTCATAGAGGAAGCTGCAGCTAAGCTATCGGGCTTCAATTTTGCATAACATACCGTGACGCGTGTAGGCCCACCATGCGCAAGGACGAGCCGGTTCGATAAGCGGGTCCCTCAAAATTTGCGCGTCAAAAGGTTCACGCGCCTTTTGGCACGCAAAAATGGGTCGCTAATTCGACTTTTGCAAGGTTACGATTTGCCTGACAAGTAACTCTGCGTGCCATGAATTCTAGCCTAAAAAATGCTCAAAAAGTTTGCTTTTCGAGAAACAGCGCCAAAAAGTGATGAACGCGTAGATAGTCGATTTGGCAAGATTTTATTTGAAAAAACTGAAAAGATTTTTGCACTGAAATGTAGCCCAAGGTGACTATTATCCTTATGACGATTATAAAATCAAAATAAATTCGGTAATCCGTTCGAATTCGCATTTGTTTCCTTGCAACAAAGTTTTTTTTCTCAAAATTACCGATCTACATGGAGATGCTTCATGAATGAGCAGTTGTTTACGATTCATTTGTGATGCTCAGCATCGCGTGGTGAGTTTCAAAGCGTTAGCCATTCTCATGCGAACATGAGAAACGCATACGGATAGGGAGCCAGTGCGAACCTCCGCGAAGCGGAGGTGACGTACTGGTCTCTACATAACCATACAATCGTCGAGGAAAAGGAAGCAATTAGCTATGACTTCCGAATACGCAATTAGCATGAGGACTAACTCGGCGTCGCTGGCGTCCCACTGCGCCAAATGCTCCCGATACCTAACTCAAGAGTAATGTCATAATTGCCAATCTTAGTGGTCGATATATACGATCAGCGCAGGAGGTTCTGATTGCACGAAATCCGCTATAGAGCACTGACCTGGACCTGACGCTCGCAAAAAGGAACATGGTTTGCAAGCAGACGACTCACTTACTAAGCGACTAAAACTGTAAACTGATTACTTAAGAAATGGGGCTGCACCTACAACCGTCCTCGGAAAGGTTGGCAGACAGAATAGACATCATCTGTGACTTGACACTAGACTTGTGCCTGATAATATTCATTCTTCTCTTGGATGCATTCACTCTCAACGTATTGGATGAGATGTTGTAAATTTGACTACTTGTGGAGCGGTCGAAGTTGTGTTAGGCCCTGGACAGAGTTCATGCGATTTGATCGTCGCGATTCAATCGCTACAGACAACTGTTACGAGTTCATTGCATGCCTACCAGCTTGCATTTCGGTTGTGGTACTTTTTCAGCCCGAAATTTTTGAATATATTAGGTTGTCTCGTAAGTTTTTTTCAATTTTGAATTTGTGCCGCAATAAGTCACACTTCCTAATGCTGATTAGGATTCAAGGCAGCGTTCGATAGAGTAAAGCAAGCTGTACAAGATGCCGTGTGATTGTTCGCACCAGCTTCACTACATCACGTATTAGAAGCCGAAATCTGAGGACTTTCGGATGCCCAGTAAATCGAGAATCTTTTATATCTTCGTTCAAAAAAGACTTACTAGATCCTAAACTTGCTCACGCATATACACTCCACATAAGGCATTCATATATGCCGTTGCTGTGTTTGTTTTTGTATTAGAAACCGAGAAAACTAAAGTTTCCAGGCTCCCAAAAAAGCAATGCTGCGCTGTTCTCACATAAATAAATGTATACTACAGACCTTCAGAAACACACCGGTAAATTTTCAGCTTCGGAATGGCTAGTTTCTGAGAATACCAAATTTAGCCCTTTTTATTGGCGTGTTTCGTGTTTAATTCAATCTTCTTGGGAACTGGAGCTTCCAGGAAGCTGGAAATTTAACGATGTATTTCTGAAGGACTGTAGTATGCAATTACTTAGGTGAGAACAGCGCTGCACAGCTTTTTTGGGGCTTGGAAACTTTAGGTTCCTCGGTCTCGGTTATATCCATCGTGACCTACATCGCTGTGCAAAAATTTCCTAAAATGATCATGTAAAACCGTGGCAAACCCGACATTACACAACCAATTCGTTTTGGCGCCGTTTTCGTAGAGTGATAGAGTTTTGGTCACTTTTGTAGGCTAAACTTCACGGCTTGCACATTATCTTGCCAAACATGACCACGACTCTGGAAAAAGTGCTGATACGAACTCAATTTTGCCCGCCAGAAGTTGAGTGGATCCATTTGGGGTGCACTTTTTGAGAGACATACTCAATGAATCCGCTCGTACTTTTGCATGTTGAATCTAGATGTTGGCAGTGTGTGTTGTGCAAAAAATACGGTTTGATACCTTGTCTGCGACTCGTTCTGCGAATTTCGTCACACACACACACCACACACACACACACACACACACACACACACACACACACACGCACACACACACACACACACACACACACACACACACACACACACACACACACACACACACACACACACACACACACACACACACACACACACACACACACACACACACACACACACACACACACACACACACACACACACACACACACACGTGAACGCCCTCAGCCCGTTATTATAAGTCACGATGTTTTGGTCTCTCATAGGCAGTCTTACTGACATAAATCAATCGATAAGTGTTCGAAAATCGAATGATCTTCGAGAACCGATTAATCGAAATTCGAATAACGAATGATATTCGATATTCGAATACTATTCGATTGGAAAATTTCAAGTAATATTCGATAGTCGAATACTCGAAGTCTTGAATTTTCAAATATTATTCGATATTCGAATATTCGAAAAAAATTTCGAATTTCCCTAAGTATACTACTTAGCCATAAACAGGTCAGTCACAATGCCCCGCCTTCTTGAACTTATACACACTTATACACACCATGCATCTGTAGTCTGTGTGTGTTGGATTTGAAAACATCTGGGGAATTTTTAGTTCGGTATTTATCAATCTCCTGTATGGGAAGGGGTTCCCGTACGGGTGACAGCCCGTACAGGCGCGGCACCGGCGCCCGCGATTCACGAAGCCAAGCTAGTGATGGGCTTGTGTTTGTTTGAAGATATGGTCCGATCTGGCAAGTTTGGCCATGTCGGGGACGGTTCCTGACTTCACAATCGGTTGTTGACAAATGATAATCAACGATGACCAACTTGCCAATAAGCTTGCCAATAAGCAGAAAATTTCATTTGCTAATTTAGCATTCCTGTGTGGTTGTGTACTCTGAACTGTTGCGGAGGCGAATGAATGTCAACTCACTTATAACCTTCCTCAACTTTCTCGTTATACAAATGTACTTAGTACTGTTCGCGACATTATGCGGTGGCAAAAAGAAGCCGGTATGTTGCTTGCTTTTGCAGTAGTGCTATAAGTATGCATATTCCAGGATAAACCAGAAGCTAAGCCAAAGGCCGAGGACTCAAAAGATTCAAAGCCAGCGCCACCATCAGAACCTGCTCAAAAGAAAGTACGTTCTCAGAAAATGCAGTTCAAACTTCATGCCCTGTCGTCCTCTTCTTCGTTAAAATCGCTGACGTAGCTTCTTGTATTCCGACATACATAGGTATTTTCCTAACTTATTAAGCGACGAGTATGTGTCGCCATATCTTTTAGTACGAGAGGAAGTTCTAATACTTGACGACAACGTGACCCACAAGTGGGTCATGCAATACCTGCCACATGGAACTATGTGACCCACATGGTGGGTCATGGTTTAGATAATGAAAAGACCGTTCTGGAATACAATCGTTTCAGAAGCACTCTTACGCTGAACCCTAGAAATTGCTCTCGTGCCTCTCTTTGTCGTCTGCTTCATAAAATTACTTAGGTATATTGTGATTGACAGTCTGCATGATTACAGCTAGAAATTTTTTTTATCCCTGGAATGCATTGTACTAGGACGCAAACAATTAAAAACGCACGTTGTCGTCAACGTGTTAATGTTGAGAGATTAAATGAAAGTTTATAGTATGCAGTTTGATCTTATGTTAAACCAATCCAATTTCACCTCCTTGTTCTTACATTATCAATCTGCAAGCTATTGCATGACGAAGGCGCAGAAACAGTATGAGTGGAGCGGGCGTACGCGCATGTTCACCATCGTAAATCCTGCCCCTCATGCGCTCTACGGATAATCAAGCCGCATTCGCCCAAAGATATTGCGCCTTGATGCAGCACGGCAGCCTGTAGATGAGTCGGTGGATACAGTAAGATACATAAGACCTTTCTAGGAAAATATTACCTCTAAAATGAATTGGTATAGTGGAAGCTCCAAACACACAAGCAAATCATCTTTTCAGCAAATTCCAAAGTAAATAAGACTTGACTCCTATAGTCTTGTAGTAGGTTAGAACAAGGCTTATGTAAATTTGTTAAATGCATTCCGGAGCCGCTAATCGCTCAAATAGAGGTGAAAGCGTAAAATGGTCAAGAGCTTTGTAAAGGCAGTCCAGGTAAGTTGCACATACGGGTCAAGTTGTTTGGTAATACAGTTGTGGAAAATGATCTAAATACGAAGTTTTTGGCCATGGATGAACCATATGCTCTGCTGCTTACAATATCTTAGTCAGGTCATGCTGCCTTCGAATGTGATGCTGGAACTTAACAAAAGCGTGGTCATTCTTGTTGCCCGCCAAAATTGGTACGTAACGCAAAAAACGACAAATTGCTTCATGCTCCTCCAAGAGGGTGTGGTGCAGAAGGCGACAAAACCCAGCAGAGGCGAGGGAACGGTGGCCACGCCTCCTACTTGCCTACTGTTTAGTGCTGACCTCGAGTCAATTAGTCAGATTGACGCTCTTGCGGCGCATAGGCTGGCGCCTGGTTGATAGCGGTGTCCTATTCGACTGCTCTATTTTGTCCATCAAAGGTCGTTGTGCAAAATTTGGTAGGTGTGATCACTCAGTGTATGAAGGAAAGATTACTAGCTCAACTTGTAGAATTCGCAGGTTGCTGATAGCTAACTGATTGCAGTGTAACATTTGGCGAAATTCGATTCCGGTCATTATATAACTTACTAAGCATATTTCGACTAACTTTTAGACTGAGTGAGATAACGGAATTGCATCAATTTTATGTAGTTGTGGTTATCAATAGAATCAAACACAATAAATGCTGCAAAGCAGTTTCCTTTCGAGGCTCAAAGTAAGACAGAATCCTGATTTTCTGGCAAAATGTCAACATCAATTTCTATCCAGCTCGTAGCTCAACTTGTAGAATTCGTAGGTTGTTTACTGATAGCCAACCGATTGCAGTGTGAGATTTGGGAGCGGAATTCAATTTCGGTCATTAGTAACTCACGAAGCATATTTCGATTAGCTTCTAGACTAAGTAAGAATAACGGAACTGCATCAGTTCTATGCGGTTATGCGGCTATCATTCGGATAGAAATGAAACAAAGACAATGAATGACGCAAAGCAGTTCCTTCCGAGGCTCAAAGTAAGAAGACATCCTCTGGCGAAATGTCAACATCAATTTGTGCCTAGCCGGACCTCAAACTCGGTGTAGCGATATCTTTCACAATTTAGTCTTTGACAATACTTCTGTTTATTTTATATTTTTCTCCTCACAGTTTTTTGCTTGAGAGTGCAAAAAAGAACAGAACACTTTATTCGCAAGAAATTGCACGAGAGTATAGCTACAAGAAAAGGAAATGATACTATCACTCAGCACTGCAAACGACTTCGATGTTATGAACTTGTACATTTAAAATGCACAACCTGCCCAAAACCTTGTGTCTGTAGGTTCCTGAAAAAAAAACTGAATCACAAGGAAAGCCCAAGTCTAATAGAATACAACTTCACCTCAAAAACAAAAAATTCCTGTACAGAGTTTCCAAAGCTTATCTGCAATGAGTGAGTGAGTGTAAGTAGCAATATACAAAGTACTCACATCAATGGTTTTTGAGCTCGCCCCTGTTCGAATGCACTTATGCGTGGCATCCACCCTCCAGTGCTAGAAAAAGGCTTGCGAGGTTAAAGCAGAAAAGGAGTGATTATGACCGCTTACCTTTTCATAAGTCCATAGCTATCGCTCATCGAGTTGAAAGCAACATCTTGCGCATATCTTAAATAAAATGGAATCGAATAAGTCACGTGTCAATTTGATGATGACAAAAAACATGCTAACTATGAAAGGGTTGAAGGTCCGATAAAGTGATATTGACTAAATAAGCAAAGTGTGAGATGCAAAAGTGGAAACAGCACAGAAACACGAGAAGTATCACTGAAGAGTCAGTTAACAGATCCTTTTGAGTCGCTCCTGTGTACACCTTCTATGAGGGAACTCCCGCATCAAACATCACCCCTGTGAGCAAATATGCTTACACAAAACGTAAAAGATATACAACTCATCATAAACGATAGACACGAACAGAGACAAAAGCGAAATCACACAAGAAGCGAAAATTGTAGAAAGCGTGCAGTCGCGCTCCGGTACAAAGATTTGAAGGGCGGGAGTTGACGGACAACTCGGACAGGGCGTGGCCACTAGTCGCGCCTGTTCCAGGGCATTTGTCGCCTTCCGCGTATTCCCCCCTCCAAGATCTTTCGTAAAATTTCAATAGTTTCAAAAAAAATTGCTTGGATTTTTCTATCAACCCAGCAAAAATCAAACTGTTTGCGCAGTATTTACTTCACCACATCTTATATATAAAGCTGAATGTCTGTTTGTATTCTGTTTGTAGTCTGTCTGTCTGTATGTGTGTCCGTATGTTCCGAATAGAAAATTCCATTTCTGAACCGATCCGGACCAAACTTGGCATACATACACTTCGGGCCTCGGCGGGTGTCATAGGCTACTTTTCGTCATCGATCGATATCGATTTTATCGATTTTATCGATTTTTAGCAGAGTTCACCTACGGGGCTGGGAGTTGGCACAGGGGGGCAAGTGAGCATGGGGATTCCGAATACAATATTAGTTTTCAGAATTGATTACTTTTATCGATTTTATAGATTTTTTTGCAAAGTTTGGGCTACGGGGCTGGGAGTTTGCATAGGGGGTAATCGAGCATGTTGATTACGAACACAATATTAGTTTGGCGCTATTCGGCTATCCGGGCCCCAAAATTTTTTTGTCGTAAGAGCTTGCTCAAACTTCGTGTATAAGGGTTATCTTACGCGCTGGAAACAGATAACACACTTTCTCCGCAGAACGTGTCCCCGTGTGGTTATGGTAGGTGTACGGTAGGAGGTCAAAATCATGAATTCGGCTGGAGTTCAGTCCAGAGAACTTATTCTGACATCTGATTACGAATTTCTCTCTTCATATTGGGACCTTTTCATAGAGTTATGGTGGTAATACGGTATGGGGTCGAAAACATAGATTTGCTTTAAACTTCGTCTAGGGTGGTCATTTAGCGCGCTGAACATGAATATCATGCTGATTTTGCAGGATATTTCATTTTCTTGGGTTACGGTGGGTGTAGATGGATCGAAGTTCCAGATTTGCTCAGAACCTTACCTGTAACGGTTCACAAGCATACTGCTCATGAATATGATGCTTGCTCGCTGTCATAACGCATTGGTGAAGTTATGGTGAGTTGCAGGGTTTGAATGGACTTTTTTTCGCTTTCGGGCCAATTTAGATCCCAGATATTCACGAAATGAGGAAATGGTTTTTGCATAGCGGTCTCCAGCGCCATCCTGATAAGCTGTTCCAACGTGTAACGCACGCGGCAAATCTCCCTCTCCCTGTTTTTGCTTAGACAAAAGCCGCCGAAGGGTGTATCGCGTGCGGCAGTGGTTCTATAAGGGAAGCATTACGGTCGTGGGAAACTTTTATACCACACGAATTGCCATCATCGTGGGGATTAAGCACGATATTCTTAAAAGAGCACTTTAGGTAATTCCCTGCCAGTTTCAGGCAGGTTCATGATTTTTACCCGCTGCCACGCGAAATGACTACCATATTCGTCATCAGCGGCTTGAATAACCCCCATATACCGAGTTCAGGCAAGACCCACCACAAAAACATTTTAGGGCCCGGATAGCCGAATAACGCCATCAGTTTTTAGAAATATCCTTAGTTGGTGAGGAGGGTAGGTGGGCATACTGATTACTATGGAAAGAAAAGCTATGGGAAAATTTGCACCATAAACCTAGAGTAACGCTAGCTCCATGAAATCCTGAAGCCGTAAACGACACGTAAGAGCTGGGGTTAAAGGCAGCGTCCAGGCAAGTCTGGACCTATGGGGATTTTACGTGGAAATTACTTTTGGGGCCCTAACTAAGCCACTGCCCAACCGGCAGCTCAGGTAGTGCCCTAACGCCTGAGATATTCCCCTCGAAACTGGACCCCGCGACCGTGTTCCGCATGGATCCATGGCGCAAAGCGTGGATCCTGGCGCGAAACTGCCATGAATCCATGCGAATACGTTCGCGGGGGCCAGTTTCGAGGGGAATATCTCAGCCATTAGAGCACTACCTGAGCTGCCGCTTGGGCAGTGGCTTAGTTTGGGCCCCAAATGTACTTTCCACGTAAAAGCCCCATAGGTCCAGATCTGCCTGGACGCTGCCTTTAAGGTAGGTGCCAGAGTAAGCGAATATTTTGTTCAGGTTGAGGCCCGCGCAGAATGGACGTCACTCACCATGCTGGCGTCAATCCAAGTGACGTCAATTCTGCGCGGGACCCCAACCTGAACAAAATATTCGCTTGCTCTGGCACCTACCTAAGCTTTTAGTTGCAATCGGTTTGCGCAAATGTCCCTTTCCTGCCTTCTCCCTCTCTTCCTCCAAACTCTTCCAAGACGAAAAGAAGGGACAAAAAATGCCAAGCTTATGGAAATCAAAAAGTCATTGCTTGAATGGCATACTGGCTATGTTCGTTCATGTTCATGATAGCATTGTTTACATTCTTCGCTGATCGACCCTCCGATACCATTTCTGGGCCTTTGTTAGCCCCCTAATCTACGGAAAGCAATCCATTTTCTAAAACCATTTCCTACACAGTGTGGATCCCACAAAAAATGTATAGTGTCTATTTTAAACACGTATTATATAGGAAAAGATAAATGATAGCTGAAGACGAAGGACTTTTATAAAGTCCTTTGTCTTCAGCTATCATTTTAATGGACTGGTTTCTACTAACCATAGGAGAGTAAATGAACCATGGATTGTTTTTGTTTCTGTTACTGTTTACGCAGAAACTTCCACGGCGAAATAGCTATCAGTTCAAAAAATTTCCAAAACATATAAAAGCTTTCGTGGGAACTGAGTACACATAAAACCTTTTTTGAATTGCTCGCATTACCATTTGGGTGGGAAAGTACCAGAATATCTATCAAACAGCTTTGCTTAGATTTGCACAATTTTACTGATGTAACTATTCCGGTGATGGTCGAGGAGAAAAGGAACAATCATGCAATGCAGAGACTCGGTGTTTTATTTTAATGCGACGGAATTCAGGCCAGCTTTAAGGCCCGGTACTTATTATTCGAAAGCATTTGAAACAAATTAGTGTGCAATTTTCGTGACACCTTCTATATTAAGTAGAACCTTTTATTTAAATGTTTGCTTGTACGCTACCTATACGAAGCGTTGCATGCAGACCGTTTGAGTTGAAATTTTGCGCACATACTTTACCCGCTCATTTTCATATTACGTTGATGGCTTAGCCGTTTCATTAACAAAGTTGGTTTGTTCTTTGGAAAATGTATCTAATTCAAAAGATGAGAAACCATTTTAGCAGGTTTAAAACCATAGCCTCGCATTTCCTTTCTTACCATTTGCGGTAACACTTACAGCGTGAAAACGTGCTTGCAGATAGGAAGGTATGTATGTGGCGTTGTATAGCAGAATATAGGCTGTTGAGCAGGAGGGGAAGAGTAAATAAAGAGAGTAAAGAAAGAAATGAATTTTGTTTTCGAAGAGCTAGATACTTGTGATTCTGTATGCTTAATTAGTACAACACACATAAGTTGAAGTCCCTTTCGATTGGCGCATATGTTTCTGGCGATAAGTTTTATCTTTCAGGAAGAGGGCAAACCTGAAGCATCGAAAGATGCAGAGGTTTGTTGAATGAAATCAAATATTAGCCAAACACGTAAGCAAAATATCTTTCTAGAATAAGACTCAACCGCCAGAAGAAAAGAAGGAGGAAAAGAAGGAAGAGTCGAACGAAAAGAAAGGTGAGGATAAAGAGAAGAAAGAAGTTCCGGTAGCCCCAACACAGCAATCCGCTGAGCCGGCACCGCAGCAGCCGTCGGCCGAACAGCCAAAGAAAACGCAATTGTCGGATGAGGAGAAACAGGAGAAGAAAGAAGAAAAGCCAGAGGCCAAATAATTGCACATTCTGACAAACAAGTCTTAAGAAAGGAATTGCTTTAGCAGTTCAATTAAGATAAAGTATGACTGCAGCAAGCTACTCTTACATACGTCTACACGATGTCTTTACTATGTACAGATGATAGATGCTCCCCATTGGTTAGGATCCGGCCAGTCTTCGCCCAAAAGCGCTCAAATGCCCTCTTTCGCGTGCGCAAAGACTGCAACATTGTTCAAAATAAGTTGCTTAGTACTAGAACGGCTACATTTATGCACATTGATAATGACTATGTTTCGATCATGCTATGTCTTCTTGCGATTCGCCATATGAATTCTGACTAAGAGACTCGATTTTTATACAGTATAAACAGGTTGAACGTCTGAAGTCATCATCATAGATATCATTCTGAGGTTTGGAGAGACAAAGACTTTAACTTTAGCGCTACTTGTTGATCTTAGTGTTGAATGATGTGCTTCAAATTGCGCTCCAGCCTCAACGTTGCACATGCGGGAAGGGGTTTATAGCGCTTTTGGCCGCTTTTGAGCGTTTTGGGCACTTGGGCAGTGTCCCTTTTACTTGGAACTATGCCTCCTTGATGAGGCGCTCGCGCTGGGATATGTCGGGCGAAAGTGACACTACGATTGAGATAGACTGTAGCTGGTATATCGGTTTGTACATCCAACATCGGTTTGCCTCAGTGAAGAGAGCTCGATAGCTTGAGATGTGTTTTTCACGTTGTCTGTTATGCCCTTCCCGTATTTTATGACTAACAAGGAATCAGTGCCTTACTTCACTGTGCCTTCGTTTTAAGACTCAGTCTAAATCGTACTCAAAATGAGTTAGAAGACGCATACTAATAGTAAAAAAAAGTATTCGAAACTAATGCTGTTCATGAAAGTGGTGAGTCTTTAGCGCTTAATTTATATTTAGTGCTTCTGGATTTTTGTACAAAAAATTCCTGAAACAGAAACCGTGCAACTGATGAGGGGCCTATTATTCTGTATTCAATGTTAGTCCATCTAAACTACAGTAAGACTAGCCGAGATGCTCAAAAAGCTAGTACATCTGCTGACCGATAAAAAAGTTTGCGCGAGCTGTTGTAACTTATCACGTTAGCCTGCATATGCGGCAGCCAAAGACACCTTATCCAGCCGTACAAATTGTGGGACGTGTGTTACTACCTAAACCTATACAATGACCGTCAAAAGTTGCAAAGAAGCCGCGCCTTTTCCGTTGCTCAATTTCAGATGGAAAAGAAAGATGAAAAAATGATCAATTTGCAGGAGACGATAAAGCTCTTTGAGAACTACACTCATGTATTACGCTTCCTGGAAAACATGGATTCTAAAAAAGTTAGAAGTTAAATCTTTTACAAAAGTCCAAAAATGGCTGCGTCACAAAGTCGCGGGCAAAATTCTTCGAACGCGAACTTTTGGGTTCTTTTCTGAAGCGAAAACAAGTAATCCAAACAAATAAGCATACTATTATACAGAGCTCATCAAGGACTATAAATTGGATACGGCTACTTCCTAAAAAGCAAAACTAGGACTTTATTCTGCATTTTTTTAGAAATCAACTTCCAATTTCCTCTTGCAAACCAAATTTCTTCACATAAAAGTGGGTGCAAAAGATCCTAACAAAACTTTCTAAAAAATGGATGTTTTTTTTTACCATTCTCTATGCATCGAACGTGTACTAGTGAGTTTCTTTTCTGGAAATGGCTCTTGGAAGTGGGCACATGATCTCACCCGCACCTCACCAATGATGACCTGTGCCGCTTTGGGCCTCGAACAGAGTTCCGCGATTTCATCGCCGCGATTCTTCGACTCAACAAGACAAACAGTTACGGGTGCATTGCATCCCGATCATTTTGCATTTCGGATGTGATAGTCACTCGCGATTGGTCGTGTTGGAGAACTATCACAATCGAAATGCAAGATGAGCGGCAATAGGCTCGTAACTGTGTTTTGTTGGGAGAATCGTAGCGATGAAATTGCGTGAACTCTGCCCGAGGACTTAGGCCATTTTCGCGGCGATTCACTCGGTCTTTCTATCGAATTATTGACTTGTTTACGCAGTTCTACAAAACTAAAAGATTAACATGTTCTGACCAAGCATCCCCCCATAACCATGTAAACGGCGGTAAAGCTCATATTAGTTTCAGGATCACGAGGATGCGGTGAAGTGAGGTGAGATGTCCCAAGGCAAGTCATCCATAACATGGGAGGGGTAGGGGATCTCGCTGTACTATGCTGGGATCAAAATTGCATCTACCTCTCCCCAGCGAACAATAGTCCGGGCTGGTCCAGCTAGCATCAAACAAAACCAAAAGGAAGACAAAACAAGGAGTTCTTGGGAGTTAACTAGAGTAGTTATTTGGTCGAAACCATCATCTCAACTAGATAGGTTTACGTCAGACATGATACCAGCAGTTTCATAGCATCTTTTTTATGAAATGTTAACTATCGGAAACAGCCAAGATGGACAGATTTTTACCTGATCCTAGATTTGAAAAAGGGAAGTTAATGGGGGAGGGGATTGAATTTTTCAAACATTCTCAACCGCCTTCATTACAGCACTTTACCAAACTTGCAGATCAGACTTACAATTAGACCTTGCATCTTCTCATTATCTAAGCTGTAAGCAAGTGAGCTTCCTCGAAGTACCTTTCAAAATGATTTACTTCACTGCTATCAACTCGCGAAACCATCAATAACAAAAAAATCAAAGAAAGATTTCAAGATTTCATCGCCTCGCGATTCTCCAGCATGAAAACTTTTACGAGTCCATTGCATGTTGATCGGTCGTTTCGGGAAATCATCACAACCGAAATGCAAGATGATCGGCATAGGGTGGCGAGCAAGAGTAACGATAGCTGGAGAGTGTCAATAACTCGCGCATATTCACCGTCATTTTTTTCCATAAACACACAGAAATCTGGAGCATTTCCTCTTGTGCTTTCGTCTAGACAGGATTGGATAGATTGTGTTTGCTTTGAAAATGAGGTGTGAAAATTAGCTGAAAATGTCAAAAAAGGGTCTCAAAGGTAAACAATATTATTTAAGCTTATTCCTGCAAAAACATCATAGAATTGCACCGGGATTTAAGCACGATTTATTGAGTAAATTGAGTAGAGCACTCCGATTCTCACTGCATGCCGATGGGTGTGGTGCAAGAGGAACGATAGTGTTTGCCAACCGGGATTTAAGCACGATTTATTGAGTAAATTGAGTAGAGCACGAATTTCATATATCTACGATTTTTTAGAAGTTTGCAATTTGCGAACTGTGAAGCAAATAGTGCATTGACACTAGCGGCTGGCAAACACTATCGTTCCTCTTGCACCACACCCATCGGCATGCAGTGAGAATCGGAGGCAATGAAATCGCGTAGGTTACTAAAATTAAAAGGGATCTATACAGAGTGTCCCAAAAAGATGTGCACACTGTTTGATCGTCAATAACTCTCTTACTTTCATGTCTTTTGCCAAGCTTCATGCACCATTCTGTGGAACGAGGTTCAACTTAAATTTGCAGTCTTGAGCGAATCACCAAACATTCTTCATTAGTGTAGGATTACGGTGTGAATTTCCAGCATACAGCGTCACAGTGAAATAGGCGTTTTGACGAAATAATTTCAAAAAAATCTGAAAATTCGTGTACCAAGGTTTTTAGGTGTGCTGATTTTACTTCACAACTTTCCACTAATTTTTCGAGTGTTTTTGATGGCGTAATTACCTTTCTGACGCATATAGGAAAAACAGTTGCTACCCAAAATTTGAAATAACTTACGAAAGAAGCAATGTACTGAAGTGCAAATTGCAGGTTTAGATTCAGCGACTCGGTTAGCTCAGTTCAAGAGTTTCTGGCTTGTTTGGCCTTCTTTTTATGGCAAAACATCGCTTCAAATGGCCTAAATTCCTCCTCGAAGTTCCTACCGCAATCCTACAGTAATGAAGTGTAATTGATGATTCGCTCCATACTGTAGCTCTAAGTTGAGCCTCGCTCTACAAAATGGTACCTTAAACTTGGCAAAAGACATGAAAGCAAGAAAGTTGTTAACGATCAAACAGTGTGCACATCTTTTTGGGACACCCTGTTTTACTTGGAAACATGTTAGGGTGTCATAACAGGAAGCTCATTTCTATGTCAGATTCATTCGCGGTTTCAAATAAAGATCATGGGAGATATGGTAACACCTCCACGTAAGCCCGCTCGGATTCTTGATGACCAGTGCGAGCCTCTGCAAAGCACTGGCCATTATGAGACAGAATCCCGTAAGTGGTTCGGCAGTAGCTTACCGGTTTTTCTCTTACGGTACAAGAACGCGCAAAACTACGCAATATCGGGTGAAGGAGGAGACGGTCGATGAACAGCTGATTATTTTGGCGAGAAAACAGGCATTTTCTTCTTTGCAGATTTCGCTTAGGTTCTTCTCAATTGGAAATGAATTTTTTTTAGTTCATTCATTCAATTTCTATTTCAACTATATCTATTCTTCACGGAATTTTTGCCAAAATCGTAGTTTTGTTATATCTATTCATTTGCTAGCTGGCATCATCAATTTTTTTCCAATAGTGGCCCCTATCAACTTGCCCGGTGATGCAGCAAAACTTCGCGACTGGTCGTTCTTGAACCTTGGCCATGGGCTTACCGCAGTCACCTACCCGTTTGATCAATTCTGCTCAAGCACTGTAGCTGCTTCTCCTTTGCACAAGCACAAGATACTCGTGTCTAGGAAGCGATCTCTATCCAGGGCGGTATTTATCAAGTTCCTATATAGGAAAGGGTTCCTGTACAGGTTACAGCCCGTACAGGTGCGGGCACGAAGCTGATGATCGGGCTCCTGTCTATTGGAGAATATGGTCCGATCTGGCAAGTTTGGCCACATAGGGCACGGCAGTCGGGTAACGGAGCCGACCTGTCGAGATGCCCGACGTGCCCGACGTGACCAAATTTGCCAGATCGGACCACATTCTAGACTTTGATGAACCATGGTGGGTGGCGCTCGTGTCCGAGCTCTCGTAACAATGGCCCGAACAGCAAATGGCAGATTGGTAAATACCGCTCCAGGTCAATTGCCCGTTTGA